TGCCTTCGGCCCAGGTCATGGTCCCGGGGTCCTGGGATCGAGTCCCGCATCGGGCTCCCTGCTCAGTGCAGAGCCTGCTTCTCCTCCTCCCTCTGCCATTCCCTCTGCTTGTGCTCTTCTATCTCTCTGTCAAATAAATAAATAAAATCTTAAAAAAAAAAGCTGGTGTACTGAATGAAAACTGGTCCCTGTTCCCAGGAGGCTTACCGTCTGGCAGGAAATCAACAAGTCAACAGAAGGCTGCAGCCCAGGTATGAAGGAAATATCATGGCGGCGGTAGTCACAGGTGACCATATTAGTACATAAAGTGGGTGCTAGAACTAAGGGGAACTGGGAGAGGTTGCAAAGGCTGAGGAGGTGGCCCCCAAGCTCTTCTCTAGAGCCCATGATACTCAAGCAAGGGGAGGTGAAGGTGGTGTGGGAGAGATGCGGGTGGCTAAGAAGAGGGAGCCCCATGTGCTCAGGCAGGCAGGTGAATGAGGCTGACACATTTCAGCAGCTACCAAGGGAGGAACCGCAGCACAGCTGGCCTAGAGAGTGGAGAGCGGGGCCCAACATGTGGAGAATTTGGAGTCCAGACCAAGAAGCTTAAGATTTCTATTGCCAACTCCGGGTTTTAAGCGGGGGAGTGACACGATCGACTCTGCAATTTACAATGATGACTGTCAGCAGGTGCAGAGAGCGGTAGCAGGAGAGCGGAAGTGACCTGTTAGAAAGCTCCTGTGCAAATCCAGAGGGGGAAGTTTTAGAGCTCCAATTAGAGTGATCCGTTGGATTCGGGGAGTAAGGAAAAAGAAAGCATCAAAGGTCACTCCAGGTGCTTCAGGGGATGGGTCCTTGGGGGATGGTAGTGCCATCGACTGAAATCAAAATATAAGAAATGGAGCAGATTCACAGGGGAAATGTCCAGATCAGTTTGGGACGTGTTAAATAGGAAAAATGACACGGCCAGGTAGGAATGCCCAATGTACAGGTGAATACAAAGGCCTGGAAACTGGCAGAACGATTCGGGCTCGATTTAGAGATTGGAGAGTCAACGGCACATGGGTGGAACCTGAAGCCAGGGGACTAGAGTAGATTGCACAGGTAGAAGGGATGCTTGCCATGAGAAACAGCCAAAGGCAGTTAGGGCCTGGAGCATATCCATGTCCAGAACAGAATTGGGCAGGAAAATAGGGCAAAAGGAAACCAAAAAGTGGCTTTCAAGAGAGGAAAAAGTAAGAGAAAAATAAAAAGTTGGTTCAAAAATTAACCAACCTGTATTCAATGTGATTTTTTTAATTGCTTTATTCAATTTGCTGGGTTCTCCCCATGTCTGTTTTACTCTAGGTGGAAATAGCACTAAGTCTTTCAAGCCATTAAGATACCATAGATACAAAATCTTGATTAACTGGAATGTTTAGAAAATGGAACGCTCTGATTAATTTAATTTTCAGGTACTAGTTGGGGATTAGTTTCAGTAAGTGAATATTTAATTAAATCTTCCTCTGTTCTCTAATTTTCAGTGCCCATTGCTCATTATTCTGTTGATTCAAATTTGCGTTTTATTTGGCTTTGTCCCACTTTTCTTTCCCCCTCCCCCTCCTTGCTCAGTTGCCTTTTGACCCACTAGCCACACATTACCCCACGCCACCTTCTCCCCACACGTGCCAGTCACCATAGCTGTGTCACAAACCACCTTAAAACCGAGTGACTGACTTAAATGACAGTTACTTTGCTCATGAATTTGCAATTTTAACAGGGCTCAGTGGACACAGCTCATCGCCGTTCCATTGGCATCAGCTAGGGTGACTCAAAGGTTGAGAAGTGAAGTGGCCTGTGAGTCCTCCAGTGTCTTCTCTACTTTCTGTAGTCTCTGTATAGTCTCTCCTCTGTAGCTTCAAAGTACCCAGACTTCCTACATTTAAGTTTAGAGTTCCCAAGGCCCATGCAGACAGAGAGAGACAGAGACAGAGAGAAAAGGGAAGGGAAGGGAGAAGAGAGGAGAGAGAGTGACAGTGAGAGAGAGAGAAAGAGATTGAGAGCGAACCAGCAGCAGCTATGGTTATGACTTTACCTTGTATGCCATGTGGCATCATTTCTACCTCATTTTATCTGTCAAAGCAGTTACCAAATCCACCCAGATTCAACGGGAGACACCTTACCTCCTGATGCAAGGATATGAACATCACATTTTAAGAAGGGCATGTGGCTCTGATCCATGTTGGTTCTACCATATTTGTAAAATACAGTCCGCCACCACGTCCTCTGTGGGTCTGTCTCTCTATTAGGAGCCATGTGAGCCCCCTATTCATCCTGCTCGTCGTCATAACTCACCTCTCATATGCCTCTTTTCATAGCAAACTGCTCAGGACCAGCTCTTAATGAGAAAGAGAGCTGACTAAATTGTTCAAATTTGTCTATATTTGGTAGTCTTTCCCAAGACATATTGCTTTTATAATGGATAACAATTACCCACTAATTTCCCAATATGATCGGATAATGATACATTTTTAGGCCTCAACAAGTTAGAAGAGAGAAATGTTTGGCTGAGAGGCCTTTAAGACAGCCTCACAATGAAGACTTTCCAAATGTCATCAGTCCATCTGCACATCAGTCTTCTATGGGGAATAAAGCTGAATCTCTCAGAGCATACCCTACAAGTTGTTATTTAAAGAATAAATCTAGGCTGTGATTTATTTTATAGTTATTTGCTTTTTTCTCCTGAAAATTGAGTTCTAAAGAAAGACTATAGTATTTAGGGAAACGGACCCTGGTTTTACTGGAGAGTGGAATGCCTATGGGATCCCTGGAAGTTAATGTAGTTTCCCAAGTAACTAGTTGAAAAAGTTAATGTAGTTTCCAAAAGAAGTCTAAGGTTTTGTCTGTGAGATTTACTTTTTAAGCCTTCGTTCATGCATCTTCCTGATCCTTCACTTCTTTTGCAGAAAATGGCTCTGAAGATATTGATATACTTCCTAGTGGGCTGGCTTTTATCTCCAGCGTGAGTATTTTCCACGCCCCTCAGACGCTCATGTCAATAGCCGAATAGATAGTACATTAATGTTGCCGACTAGAGCTGCCAGATGGACCCCTACACACTTATCCCAACTGTGGTTAAAGCAGTCAACTAAAAAAGCCAAAAGGGGATTCCAGAGGGCTAATTGGGTTGCCACAGGAATGCCAGGTTTGCTTGGCCCCATGTGGGCAGCTCCCTGTGGGCAGTTACAAATTCAGTCGGGTCTCGATAACTGTCTATTGATTTCCATTGGATTCCTAGACGAGTCTCCAGGTTTGTCCTGCTAGTGTCCATCCCCATCATTGCCCTAGTTTGCCGGACCTCAGTTTCTGGTTGTCATGTTCTCACTAACTGGTATTCTTCTCTCTATGCCTGCCTGTGTTTGAGGCTCAGGAAATGTTTGTGAATCATATGTTGACCATGTTAGGCGATTCAAAAGCCTGAGCACTTTCCAACTTGGGTTCCCTGCCATTCCTTCCAACTCTTTCAAAGACAAGTAGAGAAGGGCCTGCATTTTATTTCTAATACCACCTTCACAGGTTTGGGATGATCATGAAGCTATGTGAAGGACTGACAAATAAATATAAATAAATTAAATACAATAAATTGAAATATATATGGTGTAAAGATATTGAAAATTGCCATGTATTTATTGAACAGTTGCAATTTGGAATGCGACCTAAGATTCTGAACAAGCAAATTGACTCCATTTTCAATGTGAATTCTGATTGCTGGGACTGCATGTCCTAAATATTCTATTTTGGCCAATAGAATGCTACCCAATAACATGAATTTTAAAATCTATATCTTTTTGGCTAAAAGGGGACACATATAATAACACTTAATGGACTGAATTTCTAAATTCTTAAGTATGCACAGTATAGTAGGGTTTTGTTTGGATTTAAGTTGCTGTTGGTGGTGATATGTGTTGGGGTGGGCGGGTGGGAGGGATTTTATTTCCTTAGTTTTCCTCCAAAACCAAAACTAAAACAAAACTGTCTAGAAAAGCTTTTCCTCTGTTGTCTTAAATTTTCTGTTGTCAATTTAGATGTTCAATGTTATGCCAAATAGACTTTTAAAAATGATTATTCTGTAACTGGGAGATTTCTCTGCTTTTAGGAGATAATATCTGTAGTTCCAGCTGTATGCTTCTTTTCTATTTTCACCGGAACTAAAAGTACTGAACTATTGCTGTATAGAAACTAGAGGTTTTCAGCGGAGAAATGTTAACAAGGGGGCTTTAAGTAATAGAGTTCTTCTTTGTAAACTAACAACTCCTAGGCTAAGGATGATTTTTTTTTTTTTTTGCTTATTTTCAATCTCTTTGCACTGCAGTAAATTCAAGTCCTTGTTCTTGGTTTTTCCTATCTCCCTTTCTTGCCGTCACAGAGCATGTTTGGAAGCTGCTGATGTAGAGAGAAATTCTGCGCGATATTTGTAGTCAGTCTACAGACAGGTGCCAAGCAGGTTATTTGCTTCCTTACCTTGGGACTTGGCATGCTTCTCCTTGCCTGCCTTCTTCACACATTATGGAGCCAGCTCCTCATTCTCTGTCAGCCTTTCTGTGGACACACTTTAATTCCACAGGAAAGTCTTCCCCAGTGCTCTTTCTGGGCGACGTGCCTCTTCTATGGCCCCTCACATTCTCTGTGCCTAGGCTCTTCCCTACCACATCATAACAGACGTGCTTGCTTGGTGCTGCCTCCCCAGATTTCAAGCTCCTTGCAGCCAGAGCTTTGTGGAGCGCCCATTGCCATGCTGAGCACCTAACGCACTACCTGACAAGTACAACGTGCTTGAATATTTACTGAATGCGTGTGCTGGTCAATGAGGGCAGTAGAGAAGTTCAATGCCTACTCACACTCACAGGTAGCCTATTGGGGAAAATAAAATGCTGCCCCTCCAGGGGATTTTCACCATTTTCAGTGACGAATGATATCCAAAGAATTGCTTGCACTGACTTGCTACAAATTCCTACCCAACTGCCTACAACAGAAAACCGGGTGCATATGAAGCCGCTTATTGGAAGTGTTTCATTCACCACGACACTTAATGTAGGTCAACTTTGTTTGCAATGTCCTACCCTTATTTACCTATTAAGTCATTTCAATTTCGAGAACATCCAGTCTTTGAACTAGGTGGCAGTGCCTTTGTGTGTGCCCAGGCTACCAAGATACTTGCTAAGGTGGTCTTCCTTGAGCTGTCTTCCTGAGTAGCGTTCTCCATTGTCAAACCTTTCTTTATGGTGTGGCAGGAAGAGTGTACAATTAAAGATGTGACTGACTTAGGCAATTCACTTCTCTGGGCTTCATTTTCCTCAGGTGAAAGGGAAGAATTAGATGTCTCTGACATTTTTTGTCCATTATTACCATGACCTAAGGTGCTGGGCTTGGTGACAGCCTGACTCTGAGGAAAGGGTAGACTCGAAGACTGAATTTCATGGCCTGATATTGAGGAGAACATTGATGCCCTTAACTGTGAATAATAGATACAAATGAGAGCAAGGATTCGGGGAGAGAATGTTGATTTTGGTTTGGACAATTTGATTTTTAACTGCTGTTAGGAAGAAGTTGGGAATGCTTGCAAGCTAGAGCTCCACAGAGAGGTTCCAGGTAAATGGGCAGACCTGAAAATAATTGGTATAGAGAAATATCTGAAACCTTATGAATAAGGTCTGCAAGGAAAGAGTATAGAGCAAGAAGAAAAGAGGGATGGATGAGGATAGAAGGAGGAAGGGGCAGAAAGAAGAGCAGGACTTCCATCTGGAAAGTCTACTTTTGACTTTTTTTTTTTTTTGACAAGGAATAAAGGGGTACAGAGTGTCAGATGCCATAGAGATACAGATAAGGAAAGGGGGAGGGATTATCAAATGAGATATTTTGGAGAGCACTGATATGACCTCGATAGAGGCGCTTCTACAAATCGGTGAGAGTTGGAGCCGTTCAAGGCAGGCGACAAGACCAAGTGATGTTTCTAAGAGAGCTGACAGTGAGGGGAAGGCAAGATAAACGTGTGTTTGAAGGAGTAGTTAAATTAGGAGATTTGTCTCAAGGAAGGAGAAATGAGCAATTTTTCAGGCAAACGAAGGGGGCACTGGTGAGAAATGAGGGGTAAAGCAAGAGAGAGACTGTAAGTTCTAAAGACAGGTCCCCGAGAATAGGCAACCAAACAAACAGGTGGGGGAAGTAATTAACTTAAGAACAGAAGAGCAAAACTCTTTCCTTAAGAAAAGAGGGAGAAAGGAAGAAAATTGATAAAATTGAAGACTTACCAAGACAGAAAGGAGGGAATCAGAGGAAATTCATGTTGAGTGCCATGGGTTTTTTTGTTTGTTTGTTTGTTTGTTTGTTTGTTTGTTTCAGAGAAGTAGGAGGTAAAGTCATCCATTGAGAATAAAGAGGAAGAAGGTATGTGCTCTGGAAGATAATAAAATAAATTGAGAATGGATACTTGGGAAAATGCAATAGATTACCTATTAGAATGAACAAAGAGATTGATAAACAGTGTTGAAGGTCTGATTGAAGTTGCGATGATAACTTTGCTGTAGAAGTTTTCAGGCAGATTTCAGACTGGCCCTATATAAAAGCTAGACCAGGGCAAGGGGAGTTGGCAGGAATTTGATAAGGAAGCAGCAAGCAAAGTGTGTGACTTCCTTAGAAGACTGACTATTGATTGATGATGACAGGTTCAAGGCCTGGAAGGAGAAGTTTGTGGCCAGGGGCGTGGGGAATCTCTCCTCCAGGTGAGGTGACCTAAGAAAAATGAAGCCGAATTATACCTCCTCGGATGGGCTTCTGCAATGTCATTGTCAATGTCTGGGGAAAAGCCAGGTTTCTGGTAAGATTTAGGCATAGAAGAACTGTTCTTTAAAAAGCTCGAAGACGTATATGGGGTTGTTTGCAACTAAAGATTGACTCCCCCAGGGGTGGGGTGAAAGACAGTGGAAGGGCCGAGAATAGTATTATTGTAAGTAAGTGTGTGGAGGTGTGTATGCGTGATTATAAGAAAAGGAGGGGACAGGAAGACAGAAGATCGAGTAAGAATGAGATCATTTAAATTGACTATAAATGGAAATGAGGGTACAAGAAAAGATATAAAATTGTTGATGTTAATATATATCAGAGTGATGGGGGAGGGTGCCAGGGAGGAAGTGGGCTGAGTTTTGTCATTGGTGTATCACAAACCAACTCCAAGTTTGACACAATGACCTGGGATGCAGCAAAGGCCCATTGCCTATTATTGGTTGATAGACATGCGTTATTGGTCCTTCCAGGAGAAAGAGCCACTGTCCAGGTTACTGACATAAACTTTTTGCAGTATTTGAAGAAAAGGATTCATGTCCAAATTTTGAGACCTAACTATAGGGACAACATAGGTCAGAAATAGTCAACTTTACGTGACTGGTTCCCCTATGTGAATTCTTGGCTGCTTCTAATATTTGTCACTACGTAATATAATGGATGTAGGGAGGGGAGCAATGTAAGGAAAGCATATACCCCTTGTCTCTGCTTTAAGGAAGGTTAGTTGCTGACTATCAGGACTGGAAAGGACAGACTCTCAGGACTTAGCAATCCTACCCTTTAACTTTCTCTTTTTATAAAAGAGGAACTAGAGGCATGGCAGGCCAAGGGACTCACACAAAGGAACCCAGCCTAGTGTCTTGCATTACACTTTTTGGCTTCACCCTTTCTCTCTATATTAGTAATTGAATATGGGTTCTTCTCACATTCCCATTCCCATTCCCAGTGACCCAGGTGTCATTGGTAATCCCTCAGATCAGATAATGGCACCAGCTGACAGAGCGAAAAATCCCAGAAATCTAAAAGAAATGCACGTCTTTGAATATTTTTGTTAGGCTTTGAGATTTTAGCTTCCATATGAAAATACTGTGAAGCATATATATGCATTTACTTATTTTATATTTTTTACAGGGATTAAAATATCCAGGCATGCCAAACTTTGCACCAGATGAGCCAGGACAGATTTTCTTGATAGATCTGAATGAGCCAAACCCAAGGGTCCAGGCACTAAACATCAGTGATGGTTTCGACAAAGCATCATTTAATCCACACGGAATCAGTACTTTCATTGATGAAGGTAAAGCCCGAATGTTTAAAAATAAGGGGTAAACAAGGGAAATACAAGCCACTCAACCTCCACAACTCAATGTGTATGTGAAAGGAGGGAAAATTTTATTTTACCGGAAAGATGTATATTTGTAAGATAATAAATGTGTACCAAACATTTGTAAACACCACATTAAAGAAGGGAGACTACAAGGTGGTCATTCCTTCTTCCTCTTACCTCCTTCTCTTTCCATTTGACCTTCAAAACCAGTTTGGAGACTGTTCTCAGAAATCTAACATATAAACTCAAAGGCCTTTGAAAATAATTGTGTGTGACATTAGAAAACATAACATGAAAGAAAACAAGATAAACTAGACTTCATCAAAATTAAAAACTTTCTGGCTCAAAAGACACCGTGAAGAAAGTGAAGAAATAGCCCAAAGAATGAAAGAAAATATTTGCAAATCATATATCTGATAAGAGGCTTATATCAAGAATATATAAATCATTCTTACAACTCAACAACAAAAAGACAACCCAATTAAAAAATGGACAAAGGATCTTAGTAGACATCTCCAAACAGATATGCAAATGGCCAATAAACACAGAAAAGATATTTAATATCCTTAGTCATTAGGGAAATGCAAATCAAAACCATAATGAGATAGCACTCCATTCCCACCGGGATGGTTATAATAATAATAATAATAAAGCAGACAATGACAAATGTTGGCAAGGATGAGGAGAAATTGGAACACTCACACTTTGTTGGTGCAGCCATTTTTTTTTTAAGATTTTATTTATTTATTTGAGAGAGAGAGACAGAGAGAGTAAGCAAGAGAGAGAGCACAAACGGGGCAGGGGGCGGCGGTGGAGGGGCAGAAGGAGAAGCAGAGTCCCCGCTGAGCAAGGACCCCGATGTGGGGCTCCATTCCAGGACCCTGGGATCATGACCTGAGCTGAAAGCAGATGCCCAACCTACTGAGCCACCCAGGTGCCTCAGTGTGGCCATTTTTGAAAGCAGGTTAGCAGTTCTTCAAAATGAACAGAGAGTTACCATATGATCCCCAAACTCCATCCCTTGGTATGTCCGCAACAGAATTGAAAACATAGGTCCACACAAAAACTTATACACAGATGTTCATGGCAGCATTATTCCTAATACCCAAAAGGTGAAAGTAACCCAAGTTCTCACCAAGTGATGAATGTATATGCAATGGGATATTATTTGGCAATAAAAAGGAATAAAGTTCTGACACATGCTACAACATGGATAAATTTTGCAAACATTATCCTAAGTGAAAGAATTCAATCGCTAAAGGCCACATAGTGTATGATTGCATTTATATCAACTGTGCAGAATTGGCAAATTCATAGAGACAAGAAGTAGCTTAGTGGTTGGCAGGGGCTGGGAGAAATGAGAAATGACAGCTAATGTGTTTGGGCTCTCTTTTTGGGCTGATAAAAAAGGTCTGGAGCTAGAGAGTGGCTATGGTTGCACAACTCTGTGAATATACTAAACGCCACTAAATTGTACAGTTTAAAATCTTGAGTTTAACGACAATGGATTATATCGTACAAAAACTGTTGCAAAACAATCTAAGTTATTAGTACATTGTATATACTTTAAAACAACAGTTTCTGATGTTACTTGGTACTTGTTCATTGTTCATAATTCCCAACTAATTTAATTTTTAGATATTTGTGGGTCCATAGGGCATGTGGAAAATAAAAACAGTGAGACCTCATTAATAGTAACTATGTGAAGGAAAGGCCAAATGGAAGTGTTGCAATTCGGAATTTTTAAAGAAATTGTGTGTTAATTCTTTCAAATTCATACTGGAGTCCCAATGTATTGTTAAGAATACATTTGTTGGAGTGATTTTATTGAATAAAAAAAAAGAATGATTAATAATTATTAATTCACTCATCCAACAGATCTTTGTTTAATTCCTTTGGTCTACATGAATAGACTTGTTCATTTTTAAATAAGTGGATTCCTTTTAAAATTTTCATATTTAATTTATTCCTCAAAATAAAACACTGGGCCCAGCCTTGGTATTTCTCCCCTTCCTGCCCCATTCAGTCACCTAGTTCCAATGTTCTGTCCAATTTACCCTTCAAATATCTCTCCAAGGTGTCCACCTCTCCCCATCCTCGATGCCACCGTCCCATCCCAAGCCCCCAACATGTCTTCCCTGGATTCTATAATGGGCCCCCTGACTATACCTTCTCTCTTATACTACCTCCATCCATTTTCATAAGCAAGAGTTATTTTTTATGCAAATCTGATCATGTCCCTCCCTTCTTAAAATTCTCCATATTGTTTCCATTACTCTGGAGAAAAGTCTCAATTCTCCAGAGTGGCCTGGGATCCGAGGCGCCTACCCGTGTGTATTCTGGCATGTGGGTGTTTTCTCCAGCCTCACCAGATACCACCTTCCCCTTGACTCCCTGGACCAGCCATACTGGATTTCCTTTAGACCTATAAAATGCTCCATGCCTCAGGGCCTTTGCATTTGCAGTTCCCTCTGAGTGAAATGTCTTTCCACCACTTCTGATTTACTCTTCCTCATCATTCAGGCCTCAGTTTAAATGTCACCTTCTCAGGGAGCCTTTCCACCATCTTGTTTCCGGGTGTGAACCTTATTATATTTCTTCTCAGTATAGTCCTTCTTTTAGCACTCATCAAAATGGCAATTAAAGTTTTTTTTTAATGTTAAATGGTACCAACCTTCTCTCCCTCTCCCACTATTGCTCTATAGTGAGCTCCTTCACATCTTTAGATCCAAGCTTGTCACTCTTTAAGTGGGTGCCACTCTATGAAGAAGGCATCTCCCCTCTCCAGTATTCTTGTATTTACTAATTATTTCCTCCCTGTTTTCTTCTCTAGAATACAGTCACCATAAAATCATGTGTGACTTGTTTATTGCTGGATTCCCATAGTCTAGAACAATGTCTGTTGCATAGTAGGTGCTCTATGAACATGTGTTAAATGAATAAATGAGTGAACCCCATGAGACAGGGCAGATATTAATACTCAGTTTTATAGATGGAGAAATGGAGTTTGAAGAAATGCAGTGACATGTGACTTCACATCTGTCATTAATAAATGGCAGTTCCAGAAGTAGAACCCGGGTGGTCTTCTTCCTAATCCTATATCCTTTATTTGGGTAAAATTAGGGCTCCAAGCTCTGATTAAATTATTTGAGTCACCGTTTTCTGGCCTGACCCCTCTCTGGACACCTTCATTGGAGAAAGTGTAATGAGTGACCAGATTAACCTGGAGCTTTTTTATTGCATGGGATAGTATTAGAGGTGGATTTTTTTTTTTTTTTTGAGGCATGGGGAGTAGGGGTTCGTTTTTTTATTTTGTTTTGTTTTTGTTTTTTGAGATGGAACCAATTTACAGATTAACCCTCAAGCATTTAATCAGACTTTCAGAAGCTGAATATATTATGATTGCAATCTTATTTTACTTATTAGTTACTTCCTTTAATTATGCATTTAATAAGGGCAAAACATTACACATAAATTGGAATGGAATGAAAAGACAAAAACCAAAAATATTCTTACCGACCATCTCTTATATGGAAGGAGGGGTCCAGTAGAAACCTAAAGAAGGGGTAAAACCAGGGCAGCACATATAATGTTCATGCTGTGTCTGGCTGAAGGGCCACGTGGGGGCTGAAATCCAACTCAGGCTTTGCTTGCCAAACCTCAGGCCCTGGAACAGAGCTGGGTTGGACTAAAAGAAAGATTCACCTGTGAGGAAGCACCTTTCCTTAATTAGGGTTAAAGTACCTGTGTGTTGGGCGCCTGGGTGGCTCAGTTGGTTGGGTGACTGCGTTCGGCTCAGGTCATGATCCCGGAGTCCTGGGATCGAGTCCCACATCGGGCTCCCAGCTCAGCAGGGAGCCTACTTCTCCCTCTAACCCTCTCCCCTCTCATGCTGTTTCTCTCTCTCTCTCCCTCTCTCTCAAATAAATAAATAAATAAATAAATAAATAAAATCTTAAAAAAAAAAAAAGTACCTGTGTGTTTCAGGGGCCCTGAGTATAACCCTTGCATCTCAGGGCTGGCACTTGTTCTATTGCATGATTGGGAACCCATCAAGAAAGGAATAGGGGACATGAATACAGATCAGGTCCTGCAGTGGGAGGATGGGGCCAGGCTCTTTCAAACTCCAGAGCTCGTCTGACCTAGAGCTTCTGTCAAGTCAGAAAACAGTATTTTGAGAAAACAGATTACTACCTTCCATCCTGTCCCCGGCAGTTCACATTTCAATATGAAAACAGAGAGGTGAACATTCTTGAGGATGGCAGTACCCAGAACTGATTAGTCTCCTTTCTCTGGCATTCATATTTACTTCCGTGTCCGTTGGGCTCATTAAATATTGTGGTTGCAACGTTAGGTAGTTGACTTGTGTCAGAACTTTATTCTCTAGTGGGACACGTTCCTTATTTTAAGGTATGTACATAGCCATGACATTTCTTGAGCATGTGTTGCAATGTAAGCATTTCTCACAGAAGGAATTCTCAGCACCCTCTTGCTTGCTTGCAATCACTTCTTTTGTTGAAGGGCCACCTTGGCCGTCTATGTGCCATTGTAGTTCTGTATCTTCCTGTTGGAGAGGGTATGTAATGAGGCTCAGGAGACCACTGAGAAACGTCTGGGCTTGGCTCTGCCACTTGGAGGTGGTGAAATTGATGATGAGTTATTCACCTTCTGAGCCTCAATTTTTTTTAGTAAAATGGGGATTCTGGCGTTTGACCTAGGAGGTATGCTGTGGGAATCAAATGCAAGGTATATAAGAAAAGTGCTTGAACATGACCAAGTTGTACACCAAGTCTAGTAATATAATAATAGTTGCAATAGAAGTAAACTTCTTGGAAATTATGCCTTTTTTTCCACCTTAGACCATACTGTGTATCTTTATGTTGTGAATCATCCCCACATGAAGTCCACGGTGGAGAAATTTAAATTTGAGGAAAAACAACGTTCTCTTGTACACCTGAAAACTATAAAACATGAACTTCTCAAAAGGTATGGACTTAAAGTATTTTGTACTATTTATTTTGCACCTCTGCTGTGTGCTTTGTTTTCTTTGGTTCAGCAGGCTTAAACTTTTGTTTTGTAGCATTTTTTTCCTAAAGCTTTCAAGAGGTTCCCATGGTGACACTGCCCAGCACCTCACTAGAAATTGCTGTATTCAGTATTGAATATCTTTATATTCTCCAACTTTCTGAAAGCATTTTAATCCTATAAAGGTACTCAATTAGATTCCCAGCTCTAATTCCATCCTCCATACCACAACAATGCAATACCCACTATTGGGCTCTCTTCAAACACCTACATCTGTTTCTAATTGTCCCAGTAGGTTGTGTTCTGAGAGCCTACTGACTGGGTGTTAGAACCGGCCTCCAGATGGGCCATTCCTTTGTTTGATAAAAGCTTTAGGGCAGCATTTGAAAAAAGGCTGTAGGCACATATAAAAATTCACATTTACTAAGCACTATGTGCCAGGCCCTGTGTCAAAATGCTTCATTTAATTCTCCTAACAGCCTTTAGTAATAGGCATGAGTAAACTGGAACCTAAGAAGTTTCGGGTTAACTAACTTGTCCAAATCACATAATTTGTAAGTGGCAGAACCGGGGTGTTAGCCTAGATCGGTTTGAATTCAAAGCTGGACTCTCAGTCACTGTGATGAACATCCTTCTTACTGTGTTGAGAAGAAAAATAGTTTAGTTTTTTAGTGGGTAGTTTGCCTGTTCCAAGGCTGTAACAAACAAAGAAGAATTTGTCTTTTATGAAGTGGACTCAACGCTGAAAGACAGTAGAGGTTAATCCTTCCTGCACTAGAAGAATAGGAAAAGAAAAGGAAGGAAGGTCACCTTTTCTCCTTTGCTCTCTTTCTCAAAATCATGTATGAATTTCTCCTCATAGAATTTGGGGGTGACAAAAGCAGAGGCAGAAGAAGTGAAGTTGGGGGGTCAATGAACTCTTCCCATGATGCATTGCACTGGGTTCACAGTCACCGCCACGGGGTGACTGAGAAACTGGATGAATCCCTCAGCCTATGCGTCAGTGTCCTCAGCGAAATGGGGGTTCTCTCACTGGCCTGACTTACCTAACCGGCAAAGGTGACATATGACCTCACTGAACGAGTTCTTTTCCATGAAAGCACAGCATGAGGGAAAACTCAATAGGCAACTACTTCATTGGAGAGTTACTATCCCAGGACCCAGAAGTGAGGGATCAGCCTGAGGCAGGGCGAGGGGGTATTATGGGTTGAATTGTGTCCTCTCAAAAAGATACGTTGAAATTTTAACCAGCCACCCCCCCACCTTGCAACAGTTCAGAACATAACCTTATTTAGAAATTGGATTACTGCAGATATACTTAGTTAAGATGAAGTTGTATTAAAAGTGGGGGTGGATCCTTAATCCAATATGACTCGTGTCCTAATAAGAAGACAAACAGGGAGAATGCATGTGGGGATGGAGCGTGAGATTGGAGTGAAGCATCCACAAGCCAAGGAATGTCTGGAACGACTAGCAACTAGAAGAGGCAAGGACAGATTCCACCATAGAACCCTCAGAAGGAGCATGGCTCTGTCAGCACCTTGATTTCAGATGTCTCGCCTCCTGTGAGACAGTAAATTTCTATTGTCTTACACTCCCCGGGTTGTGGCACTCTGTCACGGCAATACTAGGAAGCTCACACAGGGGGAGGCTATCGTGAGTGGTTATTAAGCCAGCCACTGTTAAGTGCAACTGCTTGAAATCATGGGATTGTCCTCCTGTAAGCAACATAAGCAACACGAGCCTCATTTTAGGACAATCTGGCCACAAGAAGAAAGTCCCTTCTCCTATGAGTCAAGGTTTGCCCCAAAGGGTGTTAACTCTTGCACATTCCTGGTTGTGCACGTGCAAGTCAAGTCTGGTGATACCTTGTGCTTTGGCATCAACACAGAAGCCTGGAAGCAGGAGCCTGAGGCCCATCACAGAAATGAGGTAAGGCTGTATAAGGCTACGCTATGGAAGGTCTGTCAGAACCAGGCAGAACTGGTTGAAGAAGTGCCATCTGGAACAGGGCAGGTGAAGCTCTGAGGACCTAAAGAGGATTTTTGAGAGGTGCCCTGATACTCAGCCTTAACCAAGCATTTCAAGGGGTAGAACAAGGTGCTATGGGATCGAACTGAACCTATGGTGTCTGCCAATACTTTCTGGAAGAAGGAATGCTTAAGCTGAGACCCAAAAGATGAGTGGCCTAATGACCCTGGGAAAGTCATTATAAATCAAAACCTCAAAGTACTTCCTGATTCATCCAAATTTTTTTATAAATTCAATCTAAAAGTATTTAATTTTTTTTTTTACTTTTTTTCAAGTCGCCATCTCTTTTTTTTCTTTTCCAAAATGTCAATGACTTTATTGCTCTTTACTCTTATGAGAGTATGACTTGTTTCATTTAAAAATTTTAATAATACCGAAGAACATAAGCAAGAATGAAGAGCGCTCACAATCCTGATATAAAGATCAAGATGGACTGGGTTATTTGGAAGTGGCAGAACCAGGGTGTTAGCCTAGATTGGTCTGAATTCAAAGCCAGACTCTCAGTCACCGTGATGAACATCCTTCTTACTGTGTTGAGAAAAATAGTTTGGCTTTTTAGTGGATAGTTTGCCTGCTCCAAGGCTGTAACAAACAGAAGAATTTGTCTTTTTTATGAAATGGACTCAACGCTGAAAGACAGTAGAGGTTGATCCTTTCTGTGATAGAAGAATAGGAAAAAAATTGTTACAATAACAGAAAAGAAAAACTGTAATGTTTTTAGTGGCTCAAAACCACAAATTTTGTTTTGTTTTCTTACTCAGGCTACATGTCCAAGGTAAATGATTCAAGGACTCAATTTTATATTGTCCTCATGTAGGGCTCTAAGAGGCCACACTTTCAGTCATCAGAAAAGTTGCTGGTTACTGTCGAAGAGTAAGGGAAGCATGGTGGGTCACATACTGGCTTGTCTTCCATCCAGAAGCCACACGCCACATCACTTCATCTCACTGGCCAAAAGCAAGTCACATGGCTGGGCCAAACATCCAGGGCATGGAGAAGCCTCATTCTAGAAGAAAGAGAACCAGAACTATTGGTGAACACCCCACACAACCATTATTGACATTTATGAGTCAACAATTTGGAGTTGAGGTTTGTTTGTATCTTTATGTGTTTTTGCTGACTTCTGTGGAAGGGAAGATTGAGAGAATAATAAACGGCTAAAAGAAAACCCGTCGGGTGCAATGAAAAATCATGTCCTTTGTGTGGAATTCATACCGCTTCATGCATACTTTTTCAAACTGATGAACATAAGGGTCTTTGAAATTCAAGGTTTTTGACAACAATCTAGATATTTAAATACTCCATGGGTTTTGCTCTCTCTCTCTCTCTTTCTTTTTTTCACTTTAGCCTGAATGACATTGTGGTTCTTGGACCAGAACAGTTTTATGCCATGAGAGACCACTACTTCACCAACTTCTTCTTGGTACTATTAGAGATTATCATGGATCTTCGTTGGACTTATGTTGTTTTCTACAGTCCAGGAGAGGTCAAAGTGGCAGCCAAAGGATTTAGTTCTGCCAATGGGATCACAGTCTCACTAGACAAAAAGTAAGCTTTTATAATTTTCCAATACTTTGCTCTTGACATTTTAGTGGATTCCTTCCTTTAAGAGGTGTTTACTTCCTTAGGCCTAAGTAGTCACTATATAAGTGGACGGACCAGATGTGGCCAGGATTCACACTCTATGGGTGATCATAAGCACACCATTTGCCCTCTTACATGTCAGGCTCCCCCCCAATGAAATGAAGGATGTGGACTCAAGGATGTGAGGTCCTTGTTTCAATTTATTATGTGACTCTAGAAACACAGTTACCCAACACACTGAAAAGGACAATAAATGCACAATATCTCTGCCCTTTATGAGGCTGAAAGGTGTTTAACCACTTACACTAAGTTGAGTTACCCAAAAGTTCTTTTTAGAGAAGGAAACCTGACTTAGACTGGGCATTGTGATTGTATGAATTTCAGATTTACTGATATACTACAGTAGACTTTTCTATAAGAAAATCCGATTTTATGCAGCATGATATTCTATGAGAAACTCTTTTAAAGTGTTTTAAAATGGAAGGTTTTTAAAAAAGAAACACACCCATGAATATTAGTATGTGCATTTGAGATAATAGAGATGATCCCTATAGAAAACAACTCTAGCAGCAGCTGGGTGGCTCAGTTGTTAAGCGTTAAGCATCTGCCTTCGGCTCAGATCGTGATCCCAGGGTCCTGGGATCAAGCCCCGCATCGGACTCCTTGCTCAGCGGGAGCCTGCTTCTCCCACTCCCACTCCCCTACTTGTGTTTCTGCTCTCGCTATCTCTCTCTCTGTCAAATAAATAAATAAAATCTTTAAAAAAAAAAGAAAACAACTCTAAGTGTTCTTCCTCTCTTTAAAAATGATTGTGATTGAGCCTCATGGTTATCTGATACTTCTTTGTAAGCACTAGTTTTTTTGTGGAAGTATAGACTCTTTTGACCTTATAATAAAGAGATCTGCTTACCTCCACCCAATTTAAGGAAAAAATTGTGACTCCTAAGTCATGAGACTGAGCTTATATGTCACCTAGAAACATCAAGGTCATTACTTTAAAGTCACATCTCATATTTAAAGCTTACTTAAAGCTCTTGAAGAATACTAAAAGTAAGACTGTATTATCTTCTTGTCCTGTGGTTTAGAAAGACATTGCAGTGGCACTTGGAACTCTTGTGAATTGTTAGACTTCTCCTCCAAAGTAAAAGTTAATGTCATCTTTCAATATTACTTGCTTACATGTAAATGCTATTTACTTCAAAGGTATATCTATGCAGCTGATGTAACTGCTCAGAACATTCATGTACTGAAAAAACATGAGAACTGGGATTTAACTCAAGTGAAGGTAAAAGTCCCCTGGCTTGCCCACCTAGCATGGCCTCTTAGATCGGCTCCCATGCCTGACCTAGGAATGTGCTCTTTGAATGCAGGAAACATGACTATTTTAGAAGAACATTGGTGAGATTGTGCTTGCACTTCTAAAATTCAGTAGTAAGGCCCTTAAAAAGACCCCTTTCAGGAGCCAGAAGGAGCTGATGGGAGGGAGGAGTGGTAGAGAAGAAAGTTGAAACAATGTCTTTATATTTCCTCTTTGTTGGAAGGTAATACATCTGGGCACCTTAGTGGATAACTTAACTGTGGATCCGGACACCGGAGATATTTGGGCAGGATGCCATCCCAATGGCATGAAGCTGCTGATCTATAACCCTGAGGATCCTCCAGGGTCCGAAGTAAGTTCCTATACTTCTCTGAGCTCACAGGCAAAGCTGCAAGAACAATTTGTTGATGTGACTTGGGAGAATTTAGTGGGTCACATGCGGTATTCCAGAAATGAACAAGTTCTGCATATAGAAAAAGCAGAGATTTTGGCAGGATGGGGAGATACAGCCCATTAACCTTTTCAGGTCTTCTGGTGACAGTTTAACATCAGTGCTAGACAACATGTCCCATCCTTGCAAGGGCTGTACTTGCTATTGGGAAGAATAGATAAGTAGGAGCTTGATTATTCACATTGACCTAGATTGCCATATCATATTTCCAATCTGAGAAGGGCCTGAAGTTAGGCAAAGAGAGAGTCCTATATGGGGCTATCTTTTTTCACACTACCTACTACGAAGCTCAAAAGAAAGGCTTTAAACGACTGTAGTCTGAAAACAAAATTAGTTTTGGGCGCCTGGGTGGCTCAGTTGTTAAGCAACTGCCTTCGGCTCAGGTCATGGTCCCAGGGTCCTGGGATCGAGTCCCATATCGGGCTCTCTGCTCCGCGGGAAGCCTGCTTCTCCCTCTCCCACTCCCGCTGCTTGTGTTCCCTGTCTTGCTGTGTCTCTCTCTGTCAAATAAATAAATAAAATCTTTAAAAAAACAAAATTAGTTTTTCCAGCAGGTTCTAATATATATGATAGTGTTGAAGACTGTCTCATTTTAAAGATGCTATTTGTGTTACTTAAAATCTCTTCTAAAACAGCAGTGCCTGGGTGATTAGTCGGTTAAGCATCTGACTCTTGATCTCAGCTCAGGTCTCAATCTCAGGGTCGTGAGTTCAAACCCTGTGTTGAGCTCCATGATGGGCATGGAACCTACATAAAAAAAGAAAAAAATATCTTCTAAAACAGTAGCATACATCATTGAATTTTATATGGCATTAAAAACAAGAGCAGAATTTTCTATAGCATTGAGTTTAAGAATAACAGATCTCTAGTAAATTCAATATAGATATAAATTCTTGGTACACATACTCTGAGAGATTAATTCACAAAAATTTATTGAGTGCTTATAATGGGCAAAACTTTGTTCTAATGCCTGGAACGTGTCAGAAAACAAAACATACAAAGATCTCTATTCTTCTGGAGGGGGGATTGACAATGAAAAATAAGCATAAGAAAAAAGTAAATTATATAGCAAGCTTGAAGATGGTAAGTTCTATGGGAAAAAAAGTATAACAGGGTAGAGGGGATCAGGATTGCTGTGAACAGGGGGATGGGCTGTCCTATTATTAAATAGAGAAATCAGGGTTAGGCCCCATTGAGAAGGTAAGTTTTGGAGAAAGATATAATGTTTGAATCTAGATTTGGGGAGTTGGGAAATTGAGATTCAAACCCTAGTCTGGTAATTGACCCTGGTAACATACCCTTATTTCTGCTTCCAATATTGCTCTTCCTCAGTTAAAAAGAAAAAAAATTGTTTCTCTATTTTATTAACATATTAGTCACAGCTTCTTAAAAACAAACAAACAAACAAGCAAAAACACCAAAAAATATAAAGAGAAACAAAAGTTCAGTCTGAGCCTAGAGCCTAAGGAACTGTTACCCTAAGCTAGCAATCTACCTTGGCTTCAGATACATGCCCCCAAAAGTGAGACGTATTACTTTTTTGCAAACACCCAACAATGTCTGCCATAAGATAATGAAAATATGATCCATAGCATGTTTAGAAAATTGTTTAGAATCTTTCTCATGTCTCTATTTTCAAGTTCATCATAGGTTTATTTTAGATAGGACTTCTTCCTTCACAATCAATGACACCCTTCATTTGTGGTTGAGGCTAAACTTTTCTACATGAGTTCCAAGTTTGAGTATTTTCATGTAACAAACCTGAGATGAAGTTACAGGATCTTTCTTAAGACGAAAAAACAAAACTCAACTAAACTCTATTCTTAATAAGTGTTGATACATATTCATGACTCATGAATTTCTAATTGGTTTTAATTCCTATCATGTCCTATTTGAGTGAACTTCATCCAGGCTATTTAGAAAACTGAGCACTTTTATGTTTACTGATGAGCAAACTAAAGCGTGTTAATCTTGAGGATCAATAACGGTAGTAGGTGGGATGTGTCAGATTGAATTCCAAAGTATGCATTCTTTATGCTTCCTAGCCACGTTATGGATGCGAGGGGGGGTTCCAGCTGGGACAACTACCATCCTACTGATTATGAGGTCAGGTTGGCTTGCTAACTGGTGTCCCTTCATCCTCTCTGTCCTGTTTCCCTCACCACACAGTAGGCCTAGTCAAAGGCAAGACCCTTCCCACAGAGGAACACTATTCACTCAAGAATTAGGTAAGAGCTAGGTAAGAGCACCCACTGGTTCTCACCTCCTTCTTCTATAGGAGATGCCTTGAACTATCAAAATTGTGTAAACAATCTTGTTGGGGAATCTGGCGAATGTCAGATCACCAGTTCACTTGACTGCATAGATATAATTAGAACATTAATACTTTCATCAGAATACCAAAAAAAAAAAAATTGTACACAAATTTCACTGTATTGATTTCTGGAAAATATATTAGTCCTGGAATATTTGAGAAGAAAATGTCACTGGCAGCTGTTTGCTCATACAGCAACTGATGAATAATCTTTTCTTGACAGGTACTTCGCATCAGGAACGTTTTGTCTGAGAAGCCTAAAATCAGCACCGAGTATGGCAATAACGGCTCCGTGATTCAGGGAAGCTCCGTGGCTTCTGTGTACCACGGAAAACTGCTCATAGGCACGGTATTCCACAAAGCTCTGTACTGTCTCTTCTAGACTCCAGACCTTCCAAGAAGTCTTGTCAACCAATGAAAAACAAAATGGCAAGCAGCAAAATAAATGCGTTTATTTGGGGTCTTCGGGATTGCAAACATGGGAGACGTAGATTCGACTAGAATTGAGAGCGTGTCCCAGAGAGACAAAGGAGGTTAGAGTTTTTAAAGAGGAAAGAGGGAATTTATGTGAGTTGTTTGAAGAAAAGGTGCTTGGGGTTGGTATAGCTACAGTGACACTAATCTATGTGTGAATGGTTGGTAGGGCAGACAGAAAGTCCATTTATGTCCATCTTAACACCTAGTAGATGCCTTGGCTATTAGCTGAGTTTAGCAAAAATTCTGAGAATTTGATACAGAACATGGGTGCATAAGCCCCACCTCCTCGACGTCTTCCCGGCTCCCTTTTAAATAACTTTCTTAGTAATGGTCACTCAATTTTATTGTCTCTGTTGTCAGTCTACATGTTTGGTAAAAATAAACCTGTAATTAGGGGCACCTGGGTGGCTCAGTCGGTGAAGCAGTGAAGCATCTGCCTTCAGCTCAGGTCATGGTCCCAGGATCCTGGGATCGAGCCTGGCCTCACGCTCCCTGCTCAGGGGGAGTCTGCTTCTCTCTCCCTCTGCCTTTTCCCCAGCTTGTGCTCTCTCGCTCTCTCCCTCACTCTCTCTCTCAAATAAATAAATAAAATCTTAAAAAAAAAAATAAACCCATAATTATATGATAAGTGGAATTGTACATAAATTACAAACACCAATAATAGTGTGCCCGGCTTTTCTTATGTGAAGAAGCCTAGCGATTACATAATATACACTAAGACCCAAGTCAAGTGAGTGACAGTCCAATAAGAAGCCAGACTTCTCAATGCTTTTTGTCCAGTATCCCCGATATTCTTTCTACAGTAAGATGTGTAAGCTGTGGTGAGCGAGGTATCCAGCTCACCCAGGGCTCCTCGCTAACCATGAAGCAAAACTACCTCCTACATCTGATGATCTGAGACTCCAGCTCAAATACTGACAATTCCCCTTCTCTTCCTTTGATTGTGCTAGGCACAAACTGCCAGTCAAGTGCCTAGGCCATGGATAAAAGCAAGAATTGGCACCATAGGGGGGGCGGAGCAAGATGGCGGAGGAGTAGGAGACCTGGATTTCGTCTCCTCTCAGGAATTCAGCTGGATAGGGATCAAACCATTCTGAACACCTAC